TGGATTTTATGAGTTTATGAATTTTATCTTTCTTGACTTTTAAAATAATTTAATTTGATTTTTAATAGAATTTTCTTTTTATTAATTTGATTTTTGGTTTTTTTAATCAATTTGATTTTTATTTAGATTTTTAATTTTTATTATTTTGATTTTTAACAGAATTTTCTTAATGACAATCCTCGTTAAGATCTCCTAGTTCCATCATTCTAGGTTCGTTATTGTTTGTGGTCTACTTGGTTTCGAATAACAGTAGATTTTTTGTTAGCAACTATGAGTTACCTTATCCAAGGATTCCTTAAAAACCAATGTTTTGTTCATTATTAGGGTTTACTTTAAGTCTCAATGACTTTGGTATCTATGGATTTTAGTTGACTTTCATTTGGGTTCATATTTTACGATTTATATTATTGGTTTGATGTTTTAATTATTTGTTTGTTACATAGTTGAATTAAATTTTCTATATCTTTGCTCATTTTAATTTATTTGATTGTTTGGTGAAGTTTATATTTCATTTGAAGTTATGTAGAAAAGGTTATTAGGGTTTTAGTTTGCGGGGTGTATTTTTTTAATTTCATCACCTTAACTTAATCCACTCTTTTTCGAGGTTGAAAGTTGTTTATTGTGTAATATTATTTTTTAGATTAGTGTTAACATTTATAGTCTTTGAATCTCGTAATTTTAATAACTTCAATTATGGAAAGTGCATGTTCATAGTCTCAGGGAAAAGTTACAAACATACCCAAAATTCATTTTTAAACTAATGATTTCTACTGTTTTATTGGTTGTTTAAATAATAACTTTTAATTGATTTTGTTAAGACATGAGTTGATGAGTTTTAATTTAGGACTAAAACTTATTAAGGGCATATTTTTAATTTGGGAACTAGGAAATGCACCTTCAATTACTCTTAAGTTAATTAATTATGTTATGATATTTGTTATGTAATTGATCAATCAATTATTTGTGTTCAAGTTGTTATGAGTTTTATCTCTTAGAGTTTAAATTTAGGATTTGAGAGTAATGAGGGGAATAATTTTAATTTAGAATAATTACAATTATGACTCTTCAAACTTTGTTAATCATGAATTTCTTATTTTGTTTCAATTGACTTATATTTTCTTTAATGCGTTTCTATTTGAATTTTAAACATTTAAAGTCTTAGAAATTGTTCAAATTACCCCTAAGGGTGAATTTTAAACATTTAAAGTTCTGTAAATTTCCCAAATCTTCTTAAGTTTAGTTATATTTTGATTAATTTTGACTTGTTGAGTTTATTAAATCTTTCTAAAATGTTTTTAGGAGGTGGAAGTATCATTTCGATTTCTAATTTAATTTGATCAAATATGTTAAAATTTCTAAGCTGTATTTTTATAATTTGAGTATTTACAAAATTACCTTTTTAGTTGATTTCTCAATTATTTAGTTAGGGTTTGGAGATAAAGGAGCTAAATACAAAATCCCAACTACATAAAACCACATACTCATATGTTTTGGGTATTTTTTTATATTCAAGTATCAAAATGGTGACTTTAAAGTATGGGTACATAATTTTAAATTTTCTCTTTAAGTTCTAATTAATAATGTATTTTTTCTGAATTATATTTAAATTTTTTGTATTTATTTTCTCAATTAATTATCAATTCCTTTTGAAAATTAAGTTTCATGTGTAGAGGTGGCCTCTGACCATGGAAAAATCAGAAAAAGACCCTAATGTAAAAGAGCATAAGCCCACCAAATTTTCTTTATTTTGTTTTTATATTTTAGTTTTAAAGATTTAATAATTAATTAAGTGTTTTAATTAATTTTAAAAATTATAGTGAATTAATTTGCCTTTATTTTATTTTTGTTTGATTCCCCTATGGATTACTGAGTCTAATACATTTTATTTTGTGTTTTTTTCATTTGCATTTAATTATATATGCATTTTTTAAGAAATTAATATTTTTTTTTATATAATTCAGAAAATCTGATTTTCCTACTTAAGTGATGTGGCGCCCTATCATCCTCGGTCCTGTTGAACGAACACAATGCGCTTCACGGTTGGTCATCGTTTTTATAGGTGTCTAACTTGGCTTGATTCGTGGCCCACTATCTAATGGAATCTACGCAGTCTATTTCTAATACACAAAAAGGGATGGAATTGGTTGATCATCCCTACGGGAATAAAAATTCGATATCGTCGACACCCTAGTGTTAAATTCTGTTGATCCAATAATTTAAATCCTAATCTATCTAAGCCAAAAGCTGCATCTAACCCTAACCAATCTGTCCATGCTACTATATGCACTTGAATTGAAATTTTTATTTAAATAAGACCAGACCCAAAGGAGTTTTCTGAGATATTGACTTATATATCTTTGATTCCCCTATGTTAACATTAAATTTTTAATTTGATCTTAGTTTGATTTATATGTGAATTTATATTTTTTAAATTTTAGAGTTTAATTGATATTTTTAATTTGTGATTTTGTGGTGAATTTTAACTTCATCAATTTTAATTTTGAGAATTTTGATGATTTTTTTTTAATTATAATTTTGTTGATTTCATTTTGCTTTAATTTTTATTTGTGATTGAATTTTAAAAGTTTCAATTTTAATTGTTTTTTTTTTTCAAATTGCTAATAATTTTTTTAAAAGATAAAACTTATTCTAGCTCAAGGTGGGGCCTCATACCCAATGGGCTCTCCATGAACCAAGGACAGAGTTATCAAACTATTTCTTGAATGAGAAGTGCAAAGTGAGAGACCGAAAGAAGACCTAAGTCTCTGCGGTCAAATGATCAATCAAAACATATTTAATCCTATAGGAACACAACTTAGGTCTCAAATTATTTGAATCTAACCAACTCAACTAGAGTCTAAGTATTTAAAATCAAGCACATGAAACCATAAAGTGTGAAGGTATGTTTGAAGTTCTATTTTTAGTATTGGTTCCTTTACTAGTCCGCTAAGAGAGCCACTAGGAAAACCCAAAGGCTAGATACTAAGATCTAGAGAAATGTAGAGCAAATATGGAATACCAAAAGTCTCATCATGCCTCTTTATATGAATCATGAGTACGAAAATTCAGGAGTTCAATAATTGAAGCTTTGATTATGAAATAAATGACATTTAATTTTTTATTTAATTATCTTATTATTATTGCAACATTTCTTTCAAGAAATAAGAAAATCATTGAATTGAAATATGTACAACAAGAATGCACAATACAGATCATAAGGAGATCCAATAGTCTATAAGAAAGTACAACAATTAGGGGCCCACCGATAGGAGACCAAGAGGCCTATTTATCTAATTGGATGCAACCATTTGAGCAAAGGATGAAGGCCGACCGAGCCAAGATAAGGACGAAAGGAATGATCTGAGTTCGAGCTAATTGTACTAGAATAAGGTAGGCAAGCACCTGTGCTAACCACGGTGGACAAGTCGAGTGAAAGCATCAAAATAACTCTCGGTAGATCCAACCTTAGAAAAAAACCCGATTTCTCAACATCACCAACCGTCCCACGGATGCCCCTAACATTCATCATCAGGAACCAAGAATTGACAATACAAAAAAGCCTCACAACCATCCCGATGGGTCCCTTAGTCAAGAAATAATCTATCTATTAGGTTATGATGATCACCATCTACTCAATATCTTAGTGTCATTTGTCAACAGGAGTTCCCATCTAGGGGGGTCAATCATTAAACTAGATCAATCGATCAATATAATAAATATAGCAGATTGAGTCAGTATTGTTGACTTGAAGCTAGTTAAGACCAACTGGCTAACTACACAGACCCAACCTAGTTGACCAAATTAGCTTTACTGACCAGAAGTCACGCTAGCCCAACCAACAGAGCCATGGGACAGCTAAGCAATAGGCTCTTATATGTAAAATATCTAGGATACCCTGTACATCCTCTATTAAAGTAGGGGCAGAAAAATATAATATTGTATATTATACCATTTGTTCTATAAACTGGGTGATCATTTATGAGAAATGAATAATAGACAAGACATTTTAATGTTCACTAGTATTCATTTTTATCTATGTCTCTCTCTCTCTCTCTCCCCCTTGCTTATGCTAGTCTTTGTTGTGATTCTTGGACAAATCAAAATTGAGTAAATCTGAATTTAATTCAGATTTAAATCACATCTAAATTTAATTTTATATTTTAGCTAACTTGATTTTAATAAAATTAAAGTTTATATTTAAATTTCAACCTTAAATCCATGTCACTTTTATATTAAGTTAAATTTAGTTCAATTTTAAGTTTAAATATGAGTTTATTCTATGAGATTAAAATTTATATTGCATTTATTTTTAATTTTATTAATTTGAGCTAAGCTCAAGTCCGCCTCAACCAATTAAACACACCTAAGCCAAACTAGTGTGAACCCAATCAGACCAAGATCAAACAGGCTAAGTAGGATTGCACAATTTTTGCTTTGTTTGATGCCAATCAAGTGAGTTGCATAAGGTGATGGGTAAGGGCAGAGTCACATTATCTGATTAAGAGTGTAAATGATTCGAGTCGAGCTAAATTCACACCTAACTTCAGTTGGGCACTTTTTTTTCAAAGTGAAAACTCGGCCTTGAATGGTGAACTTGAGCTTCACTCATAATAAAGACAATATCATCAATCAACTAACCGAGCTCGATTGTGAGCCGACGAGCCAAGCCTAGACAAGCTTGAACTTGAGCTCTTCTAATAAATAAGTTTTGAGCTTCAACTCAAGCTCTAGCTCATAGCTCGATATGCTCAATTTGTGAGCTTGTTTGTGAGTCGATTTGGGTTGTGCTCACTTACTCCCATGTTTGAATTTTTTTTTTTTAATTTATCAGAATTTGGATTCAAAAATTTTTTCTGACTTTAATGAAACTTGGAGAATACTTGTTCAAATAAAAATAAAAAGAAATTTTTGTGCAAATACAATATTCTAGGGTATGGTCAAAATTTGCTTATTAAAAAATGAATGATGGGCGGGAAATTATTAAAGAGGAGAAAGTTGAACTGAGATCTCCGACGTCTCAATCTTGCCCAAAAAAATAGAAACAAAAATCAAGTCCAGTGCAGCCACAGCCCTAGTTCGCTCGCGACCGTCTTCCTCTTGCTCCGCGCGTTTGAGGCAATGGAGATCATTAGAGCGATGTAATGACCGTGAGCGAGAGCTAGAGAAGAAGAGGGCTAGAAACTTTGAGAGAGTGCAGACAAAAAGGTTCGGGCACAGCGGTTGACGTCGGAGGGTTGATTACCGGTCTTGGGTCGTCTTCGACGAACGCAATAACTCAATCGGAGAAGGTAGGTGAGGGTGGAAGGATGGTCATGATTGTACTTTTTTAAACATTGGTCTAACTTATTGCACGAGAAGGATGGTCATGCTACGTTGGGTCTAATAAGCGACAATCGATGGAGGCGAGGGTGGAAGCTCAATCCATTGCGCGTGCTAGGGGTTGTGTGAAGTAGGCATCCACATTCACATTTGTGTTGAGGTGCGAAGTTGTAGGTCATCGTTGTTGTGACTGTGAGGCTGTATTCATGTCCTGATTTCTAGTCGGCGTTGCACAAGGTAGTGAGGGTTATAGTCACTATAGTCGTTGTCGTTGTCTCATCGAACAAGGCAGTGAGGGCCGTGTAGTTGTTGGGTTTGATTTTGAACTTTTAAAAAACTTGTGTTTGGTTTATTTTTGTAGTCCTAATTCATTCGAACAAACAACCCCTTGGTGATTTTTGATTAGTGTATTACATGTAAGGTTGTTTTAATAAAACTATTTATTTTAATGAAAATATTTACATGTTTATTTTGTGGTTGATTATTAAATTTTAACGGTGATTATTTTTAAATTCTTAATTACGGGAATAAAATTAATTATTTGTAGCAGTTATCTTATTTTTTATTGCATTATATTGAGTGTTTGCTTGAATTGCATTCTCTTAAAAATAGATTTTATGGAGATTCAGATTTTGGGGCCAAGGATATCAAGGTCATGGACTCATGGTTGACCCATAAGACCATTCTTGATTTGTTTAAGGTAGGTGATTTGTGCCTACTAAGGGATAAGTGTTCACTTGCTTTAAGGGCTTTCTCTTATAATTGAAATATATTTATAAAAATCTTTATGGCATGATTTATGCTAGGTAGTTTAAATGTTCATATTGATTATCTATCAGCTGAAATATTATGAATCAATTGATGTTTGAGTTTAACTTTATATCATTGATTTTATATATTACATTACAAGGCAGAAGTTAAATGAAGCTGCTTTTTCTTGAAAAGTTGCAATAGTAAAAAAAGCCAATGAGGACTTCAAGAAAAAAACTACTCCCTTAGATATTAGAGTCATATGCATAATTTAAAATCTTAAATGTTATATTTGAAAGCTGAAACTGAATTTTATTTTGCTCATTTTATTATAAAAAAAAATGTATTGATGATGTTATATAACTTACAATGTTGATTAGATTATAGACTAATGCTGGCTTAATTATACTTAATAATGGTTTTATGAGTTTGGGTTTTTTTTTGGCTACCTTAATGAATAAATGATTATTATGAACAATTATTATCTTAGTGTGCTTATGAAAGAAAAAAGTGAGGCGCCATGACCATAAATCAATGCATTAGCTTTTAAGACCATCTGAAATTTTACGTTAAAAAATTTAAAAATAAGGAGTAGCTCTCATCACTGAATTTTTTTGTAAGAAAAGAGGGAAGAGAAAAAGACCAAGGAAGATAGACTTTAAATGGAATGAAGAATTTACTAATGATGCTTATTTTCTAGAAAAATATTAAATTGATTTATCTTTCATTCTGGTTGAATCCAAAGTTACTTTAAATTTTTTTTTTTTGTTTTTTTAATGAGTTTTCGAGTCCATATAATAGTCATCTCATATTTATGTGGTTATTATGAGCATAAAATTTATAACTTTAATAAAACTTTAATCCAAGTATTTTTCATATACACCCATTTGGAATTAATTATAGTGTACTTATTTGTAAACATATTAGTATTTTAGCATTACCTTTTCGATCATCATATCCTTTTGCATTATGCATAGTCATATACATAATTTGTATGAGAATACTCATAAAATTGACTTACTAATATTGATGACATTTAAAAGTCTACTGTAGATATGTACATCAAAAGTTTCTGAAATTTATCCCTGAAATTGTGGTGTGGTGTCAAAATGCTGAAAGGCTTCTTTTATGTTCATTTAAGAAATCATTTGGTGAAAAAAAATTATCTTATAAAGTCATACAATAAATATGGTTGACTGCTTGGAAGTTAAAATTTTTTTTAAAAAATATTTTGTTAGTCTAATTTTAATGTATTTAAGCCAACCTATATCATGAACCATTGACCATTATCTCGGATTATTCTATCATTCCACCTACTTATAGTTTTATGTCCGACGCAACATCTGCATATTGCTTAAATGGTCAAGCTTGCCTTGTTCTTAATGAGATTAATGGAGATGCAGTTGTGTATTAATTGTATTGCATATGAAAGATTTCTTGCGTGGTAAAGAGATATATTAACATATGATGATTTATGGATATATATACATGAAGTTTTTGATCTACTCCTGGATCCATTGGAATAATGTTAAATAAATAATTCATTTGAGAGTTGAATTTTTTTAATCCAAACATAATTGATGAGTACCTTAAGGTTTCTTTTGCTTTAACTTTCTATTTTATTGGTTATCTGATCATCACTTCAGCCATTTATGGTGAATTTTGGCTATCTAATCATGTGAATTCATTTCTATTGGTTTTGTCTGTTGAACAGGTCCTTCATGTTTATTCTCTTGTTTCCCCAACTTTTTTTTTGTAGGCTGTATTAATGTATGTGTGATGGCGTGATTGATTTGACCTTCTACTAAGGCATTCGAGTTGATGTTTTTTAAGGTATTTTAACACCTCAAGGTAAGATACTATTTTAAGTCATTAGGTACATTTATTTGACATATGTAATTATTATTTATTCAAGATTGTACAATTTCATGCATATGTTGTATACTGCATTGCTACTAAACTACTGCCATCTTTTTCATGCCAACAAAAAAATGTTTTGAGCATGTTGTTTTATTCCATGAATTAATGCAGGATAATTGTTTTTGATTGAACATACAATTTATACCATTTCTTAGTCATACTTGTAATACTAAAGATCCATAGATCATATTGGCCTTTACAAATTGCTTAAACCTTCTTTCATGTAAATATATCCAATGCATGCGTGTGATTGTCTTGATCTCTTGTAGTGTCTAGCTAATTTTGTTGATTATGTTTAGAGAGTTTGACAAAGTTCATCTTGCTTTAAAGAGTGACAAATTTCATCTTGTTGATAGCCTTTCTCAGGATTAATGGTACTATGAGAGGTTTGCCTGTTTAGCTAGGTTAAAGTACTAATTGTTGGATATCTATGTAAATTTATCGTACATAAAAATTTTGTGATTGCTCTGTGCTACTTTGCTTATATATTTATTGTAAATGTATGCTGTCCTTAAACTGCCACAATATTTTTACTTATAGATTATTGATTATGGTATCCAAAATTTTGATGATTTATTTGATGCGGTGATCATAACAGTGCTTTAATTTTATAATGGCAATTTTTGATGCATTATTTCATATGATTCTTGCCTTAGTACAGGTTTTCTGTAAACTTTGTTGTGAAAATTAACTCGCTGATGTTCCAAACCTAGCCTGCATAGTAAATTTCTATTTACATAGGTGCACCGTCATCACTCATAGGCCTTGTATGTTAAAAGTATTTGGTTTTCACCTTTCTAATTATGACATTTTTTTTATTTAGATAATTTATCATGAATGAATGTAGTTTTTAATGTTAGGATTTGTCATATTTTGTCTCTCGTGGAAAATTCTTGATTTTATTTTCCTCTTTTTGGATAGGACATTAGATCTCACTTGGGGAACATTGGTTCAATGTTTGCATATAACAATGTTATATGTCAAATGCAATATGTTTATTTCAAAGTTATGTAATTTAAACAATGTAGTGTTGTATAAAAATATCAATGATGATTATGATATTACTTTATGTAATCATATATTTTAATAGTTAGGTATCCTTCTACATGCAGGCAAATTTGACCAACATCTAAATGTCATCAAAGTATGACTTAAATGTCATTTATAAAATTCTTATTTAGAGATATTATTAAACCAAAGGCTAAAACCTAAACATACTAACATGAGATTACATTGCAAATATCTGTGAACCAATCATACCTTTTTTTTTGGCACTATGCCATAAAACTGCTTAATTTAGCATTGATTCCTTAGTTGTTGTTGTTGGTTGAGGGTGCATCTTCCACAACATGAGAATGAGTTCTTTTGTGAACATAAAAATTGTTATTTTTGCTGCTGGAGAGCAATAATGCTTTTACCTTTTAGTTTCCAATTACTAATCTCCATCTCTATGCTCAAGTTGTCTTCACCCCGCTACTGTTCTCCATGTATTGACTCTTATCTTGGTCTAAGGTTTGAGTTTGATTTGTGTTCATCTTCGTTTGGAGTTTTGAGCTTGCAAAGGACTTTCTTCATTTCTTTCCATTTCCATTTCTTAGACTTTGTTTTATGGGTTTGCTTGGCTTATTTTAATTTTTTAAATGCTTGATCAGTTTATAAATGTATATTTTTAGAGATAATTTATTTCTCTCAATATCCACAATGTATATGTTTGTTCACGTGTTTTCCTTTCTCTATGGTTGTTTATTGATTGAAATGACATAAAGTGTATAAAATTTTGCTGTTTGCATTTAGTAAATGGTGGAGTCTGGGTTATAATTACTTGATGCTAGCTAGAATTATTGGGGAGTTGATTATATCAGTCAGATTTACATGTCAGTCTTGTTTGTACGAATTCAATAATGAATTTTATTTTTAGTTAGCATTCCATGATTAATTATGACAGTCTTGTTTGTACGAATTCACGAATGAATTTAATTTTTAGTTAGCATTCCATGATTAATTTGTATTGTTTGTCAATTGTTCATGAGATAGGAATGTATCTATTCTTGTTGCATAAAGCCTCAAATAAATGAGAAGTTATTCTTTTTGATTGTTTCTATGCTGTGTTATTTATTATCCAATCTCCATTTCTCATCACGTATTGGTTTAAAGAGTTTTGCATGTCTCTATTAATTATCTACATTGAAAATTTGCATCTTGGGAGTAGTTCTTCTAGCATTTGCTCAAAGGAAACCTTAACCTTCATCCCAGCTTCTTCTATTATTCTTTGAAATAAGGGGGACTTAATTATTTTGCTCAACCATTCAAGATAAATGGGGCTTTGATTGCTTTTACGTGAATGTTTCCTTCAATTATCTAGTAATGTTTTGCAATATTTATTAACAAGTTATATTAGTCTAACGTTTATATTTTCCTATTCGCATTGTTGCAGGTTCTTTTGTAAATTGTGGGATACTATTGCTTTTGGGAAAATGGGGATAGACAATTATCATGTTATAGAACTCATTGGAGAAGGCTCATTTGGAAAGGTTTACAAAGGAAGGCGCAAGTATACAAGCCGGGTTTGCATTTTTGCCCAAGAAAAATACTGTTCGTCCATGAGATTATTGTATAAAATTAAATTTTCTAATTGATGCTTGAAGTTATTTTCTTTCTTATTTTAGACTGTTGCAATGAAGTTTATCCTAAAATCAGGAAAGAGTTTCTGAAAGAGTGAGAAGGATATTCACAATCTTAGACAAGAGATAGAGGTATTTTTCTACATTAAATCTTGACATTTTTAATGCAGCATTTGTAGACCATTCTCATTTTTTACTTAAAATTGCTTTGAAAATGGCCTTCATTTCATTTCAATCATTAGTCAGTCTTGTTTCTTCTTACTTCACATTTTTTTTTATCTTGAAATATTCTATTAGTAACTCGATATTATTCATCTTCATATGCATCACAAAATATAGTATATGAAATTTAATGAGTTGGTAATGAATCGAGTATGTAAATTTAATCTAATGAAATGTTTAGATAGTGAGATAAATGTTTTGTGGTGTCACACAACATGATGATTATCCCAAAATTGGCACGGGACATAATAGAGGCGAGTGTGATTCAACCGGATGAATATATCTCCAACACCCATTATGATATTCTACTTATTAGATTAAAGTGGGTGATAAACTCAATCACGTAAATGCACGTAGATTAACATAAAACACATCATTGCAATTTGCACATATCTAATAAAATCCACCAATCCTATTAAGGAGAAGCAGTTCAAAATATTTCATTTAAATCTATCTGCAGAACATATAAAACACATGAAAATTTTATATAAAATATAATTTTTATTTGATATATTACCTAAATACTCTTCTATCATATAACAGTTGTACAACAAAATATACAACAACAACAAGGCTTTATCCCATTAGGTTGGGTGGGCTACATTATTCTTTTTTCTCCATTGCATCTTGTTGAGTGTCATATTTTTATTTAATTCTAATAGATTAAGATCTTTCTTTTATACAATATACCCAAGTCTTTTTAGGCCTACCTTTGCCTTTTTTAACATAAGTTAAATCTAAAACTTCTACTCACCTAATCAGATCATCAGTTGGTCGACGTTTAATGTCACCAAACCTTCTAAGACAACTCTATCTAATATTGTTCACCACTGGAGCTACAACAACCCTATCACAAATATATTTATTTCGCATTTTGTCTCTAAGTGCCAAGCCTCTCATCCACCGAAGCATTCTCATTTCTGCAACACTTAACTTTGTTTAATACTTCCTTTTTAAAGGCCAACATTCTGTGCCATAGAGCATTGCAGGTCTCACCACCATCTTGTAAAATTTTCCTTTAAGCCTAAGCAAAACTTTTTTATCACACAATAGGCTCGATGCATTCCTCCATTTAACCAATTTGAATTCTACTAATAATATCCCCATCTATAACACCATCACTTTGAACAATAAACTTGAGATATTAAAAAAGTTCACACATTTTAATGATTTGATCACCCATAATTACAAATCTACTACTAGAGCAACTACTACTAAAATTACATTTCATGTATTCAATTTTAATATACTCAAACCAAGGCCTTCATACTCCAATTTCGACTTTCATAATTCAAGTTTTTCAATATACTCAAACCAAGGCCTTTATACTCCAATTTCGACTTTCATAATTCAAGTTTTTCCTTAACTTTTTCTTTAGTCTTATCCACAAGAAGGATATCATTAGCGAAAAACATACAATAAGGTACATCCTCTTGTAAATATTTAGTAAGAACATTCATAACTAAAGCAAAAAGATATGGGTTTAAACACGGATCTCTGATGTAATCCAATTGAAATAAAAATAACACTTAGGGTCCGTTTGGGACAGCGTTCGCACTGCGTCGTGGTGTTGGGACGCGAAATTTTCCTATTTGGTTCGGTGCCTAGCTCGCGGCGGGACGCGAATATGGCATAACGCGCGTCGCGGATAGGGCCCTGCGGCCTGCGTTTGCGGGGTAGATGTTCTAGCGCTCGTCCATAATACCTCTCGATGCCGAAGTTCTCATCGTCTCCAATCCTCCCCACCATTGCGTGTTTTAAATCCCCCCTTCCTCTCGGCCCTGCCCTTACCGCAATCGGGAGCCTCTCCCTGGACTTAAAAAGACATTCATCTCTCCCAACCGAAGAAACACCTGTGATTCCCCTCCGATTCCCAAACTCCACAACTCCTAAGCCTCTCCCTAAGTTTTTCCTTTTTTTTTTGGCTTTGGGAGCGGAAGCTCTACCTCTGGATTATTAGGTCAGCAAGATGTTATTCCCCCGATCCTGTATGTTTATTGCTTTTTTTTTTATATGCTGTTTATGAAATACCGAATTGTACTTCGTATCATTCACTGAAAAGCTAGGCAAATTCATGGTTTTGACATAGGATTCCATCTGGGATATGTCATCTATTGATGGTTTGGATTGCAGATGCGTTTTCTTCTTGGTTTATGATTGTTGAGTATGTGCAGTTGTTTGTTTCCCTGTTGGTGGCGATTGTGTAAGTTTTGGAAGTTTAGCCTGTCAATACACAGTGATAAAGGGGCAAGATCTATAGAATTTATTGGTTTTATTCATTGAATAATTTCAATTAGTGCCTTGCCCGTAGATTTGCATATATTGTTGTTTTATGCAAATTCAATAGTAGAAAGATGCAGTTCCCAATTAATTAGATTTTCTTTTTCAACCAAATATCTTACCAGATTTTCAAAACTGATTTACTTAATCTAATCATCTTTTTAAAGAGTAAAAGCGATACATAGTCAATTGTTCAACATATGACTTAAGTTAGCAATTAAGAGGCCAACTTATGAAAAGTAGAGTTTTATATTATTTAAACTCTTTCATAACCTAGTGATTGAGTTAAATTTACTTTGTTGTCATTTACTTGTTTTAGGAAACATTTTCTTCTTTGTTTTCTCTTTTTTTTGTTTTGGACAACTAGATCTTTTGTGGTTTTTATTTTTCCCTGAATGACAATGAATCGTTTTATTATCTTTGGAATAAAATGATTTAGCATTAGGAACAACATAAGTAAAGCAACAACCAACAATAATTGTAGCCAATACAAACATAAGTTGCAATTGCATTGTACCAATATGTGTGGTGTTGGATGCAGAGCAGATATGCTTATTGCGGCTATGGACGTGTGATGGTGTGCACCACATTTGTTGTAGCAAGAGATTTGCAGTCAAGTGGGGAATTATTGGGTGCCTATTTAGTGAGATGAGCGGTAGATGGTATGAGGGTTGCTTCGTATGCAAAAGGGAGACTTGCTTTAGGATTGAGGGTTGACGAACAACTAAGTTTTTTTTGGGGGTTACAGGGTAGAAAGTTGATCCATTTTGTTTCGTGAGTGGGCTAAATTTAAAATGGGTTTGGGTGAGCGGTAGATGGCATGAGAAGAGATTGTAACTATGAGGTTTAGCAAAATTTTATAAAGATTGGGAAGAGAAATTAATCCCCATACACAATCCACACAAATAAGTTGGATTGGAGAGCACTAAATCATCCACAAATCATATCATCTATTCAGTTATCAATTAATAATAATTACAAATCATAGATCTTTATTTATATTATAGGGTTACAAATCATAGTTTCTTAGGAAGGACCACCCCGATTGGTTTTAAATTCTTTAAGCTAGGACTCATCGTTGAGTTGGCATTTTCAAGCACAAACGGTTTTTTGATACCATTGAAGTGCCAAAACGCATCATTTAAGGGAATCTCAGTGGTAAGGCCAGCTCTGCCAAGCTTATTTGAAGATGAATCAATGGGTCGGTTTGCTTTAATAACTATGAATTTTAAGGCTTTTCATGTTGTTGCTCTGAATGCATCAGTTATGAATCTTTCAGACATTTATATCTCTCAAGTCCCTGAGTTGTGTGTTGAATCACAACTCCATGCCAGAGGAAAGGCCTGCTTAGACTGAATGTATTTGGTTCAGTGGAGGATGGATTAAAATTATAATGTCATGAACCATTGCATATTACAAAGTACCAATTAATAAATGATGATAGGACTTTTTAGTATTTAATATTCCTTTCTCTGTTGATTTAGTTACCCTTAATCAAATTTAAAAATTGATTTGTGCAAATACCAATTTTGTATCTCTTCTTTTCATGAGATGATAGTAGAGTTGGATTAAATTGATTATTTTTTTTTGCACTCAGATTCTACCCATGGAAATCCACTTAACAAAAGCCTTGCAAGTATTTTCAGTCCTTTTAAAAAGTGAAGTGTTTGCAGCAAAAACAGTTGGTGGTTGATAGATATGCATCAACTATATAAATGAATTACAATCCAAAGTGATCTGCTTGCAAGATCTCATGGAAAAAAAGTGACTATTAAATGAGCAGTGCACCATGCAGGTAAAGAAAGATGGTGTTCGATAGGCATGTATCAAATAATTGGAATTAAAAATTTTTTTATAAAAAACCATCCTACTTCGTTGCAGATTGAATGGATGACCAAAATGTTGCATTCAATGATGCTGCACCTTATTTAAAAGTTGTTGAACCGCAGCTGTTGCAGAAAGTTGCTGCCTAGAAGCTACTGCAAAGAAGCTGATTATCTGTTTAGTTTTTACCAAACAGGTGCAACATGATTATTTTTCCAGAAACAGCTGTCCCAAAACTGTTTTCACACAGCTGCACTAAGCAGACAACCAGCTTCCCTGCAGCAGCTTTCTGGGGCAGCGTAGCTGCAGCTGCGCCAAACAAACCCTTAGTCAATTCTCCCGTTCGAACACAACTAACAACTCTAGCATAGATATATTTACTGACTTGAATATAAGTCATTTCAACAGCTTTCTTCTCTAGAACTCTCCAAAGGATTGCTCTTGGAAACTTATCGTAAGCTTTTCTACATTAATAAAAATCATATGTAAATCCTCCTTACTCTCTCTATACTTCTCCATCAAACCTCTCAATAAATGTTTAGTTTCCATAGTAGACTGACCGACATAAATCCAAACAAATTATGAGAAACCCTTATTTTCACGTCTTAACCTATGTTCAATTACCCTCCCCTATAATTTTAGGGTATGCCACATCAACTTAAATCTTTTATAATTTGTACACTCTTGTGCATCATCTTTATTCTTAAAAATGAGGACCAAAATACTTTTTCTCGACTCCTCTAACATCTTTTTAATTTTTAAAAGAATATTAAAGAGTTTAGTAAACCAATAAACTCTCAAATCTTTTAAAGATTTTCACACTTCAATTAGGATATCATTAGGTCCAACTGATTTTCTACTCTTGTTTTTCTTTAAAGCCTCCTTATCTTCTTTTTTACTAATGTGACGATAAAAATAAAATATTTTTTTATTAACGATATATAGATCATTAAGGACGATCATATTTTCAGGAACTTTGTTACAAAGTTTATCGAAATTGCCCACCCACTTATATTGAATATCTTCATCTAAGAAAAATACTTTTTTATTTTCATCTTTAATACACTTTATTTGAATTAAATCTGTACTTTTCTTTTCTATTTGTTTAGTTAGTTTATACATTTATTTTTCACTCTCTTTATTATCTAATCTATTATAAAGCTCACTAAAAGCATAATTTTTAGTGGCATAATTATTCTCTTAGACTCCTTATGTGTCACCTTAAATTCCTTTTTAATTTACTAGCTTTTACATTTAAATCAATTTTTATAACCCAACTTATTATATTTTATCTTTTTTTTGCATATTACTATTCCACCACTTACTATCTTTATTTATAAATATTTTCCTTTCGATTCTCCAATTATATCTTTTGCACTTGTTTAATAGTGTCTGTTTCCTTATCCCACATAAAATCAACTTCTTTATGAACATCCCAAATCTTAAAATCTTGAAGTTTACTCATAAAAGTTTTTTTTCTGATATCTTTTAGGTGCCCCCATTTAATTCCATGACAATATTCATTCTATTATTTATCCTACAACTCACCTTAAAATTTAAAACTAATAATCAATTTCAAGTACTTAAATTTTTACTTGGAATGATTTACAATCTTTACCTTCTTGAAGATATCTTTTTCTCATAAGAAAATAATCAATTTTTGTTTAATTAGATCTATTCTTATAAGTATAAAATGCTCATCTTTCTTCTTTAATAAAGTATTAACAATAACGGAATCACACTCTAAAATAAAATTTAATATGGTTTTACTTTCTTCATTAATCACTCTAAAATCGTAGCCACTATGAATTTTCTAGATTCTACTGCAACTCTACCAACATGACCATTTAAGTCACCTTTAATAAAAATTCTTTTTTCAAGAGGTATTATTTGTATTAAATCTTTTATGTCATTACAAAATTTCTTTTTGAACTTTATCTAAACCTATTGAGTAGCATAAACACTTATAACATTAAAAGTCTTAGCATCATAAATAATCTTTAGAATTATAATTCTATCTTCAATTTTGTTAAGTTTTATAATATTATTTTTTAAACTCTTATCTATAATTAAACCTATACCATTTCTAGTGCAGCTCCTATCTGAATATCAAAGTTTAAAATCTAAGCTATCAATCTCCTTAGTCTTTTCTCTAATCCATTTAGTTCTTGAATACATAAGATATTATCAAGTTTAATAAAGCCTAGATAAAACCTAGTATTATTGCTATTGAACTACATTGATTACTCTTTTTTGCCTTCATCGGCGACTCTTTTGTCCCCACGTCTACATGTATCATAAACTTATCATTGCAATTTTACCCTCATATGACATGATATTTCTTACACTTAATACATTTTTATTATTGAATATTTAAATAATATATGAATCATTTTCAAATTTGATGAGCAACTATAAATGCAAATGAATAATTTACAGATGCCATTTAAAAGTTTCACCAATTAGCAAAATTTTTTTATATTCTAATGCATTTAATTACAAGCATGTATCTTCATCATTTTTGTCTAGTCATTTATGCATGTAGACTGTAAACATGCTTTCCTCATTAAAAATTTTTATCGTGTTACACTCATTAGTCTATTTACCCATAAATGAAAATGCAACATGTCAAGGAAAATTTGTTTTATATGTTAAAAATTGCATATCTTACTTGAATGATAATTTACTCAATTGAATCAAATATTCTTAAATTTCTTCCTTTTGTGAACAAACTAAAAATTGCAGATTATCAATCGATAGCGTTCCATAACATATATTTTTAAATATCCTCAAAATAACACATCCTCATAAACACATTGAAACCAATCATTCCTAATTGGAATCGATTGGTTAGAAAAATACCAAAATCAGCATACTAACTTTTTTACCTAATTTTTTGTCTTTTTTCTCTCCTCTTCTTCAAGCCTCTTCTCCCTCTCTTTTTCTCCTCTTCCTATTTCTTCCTTTTTCAGCCTCAGTTTGTTTAAGTTCGGCCTCTAAAGCTTACGGAATAGCAAGTTATGGGAACGGAATTGGATAGAAATGAAGTGCAACTGGATATGTGTTAATATAAGTGATTAATTGAACATTTTATTCTTAATCAACTCAATACCATCCAAAATCACTTAAGACTTTGCATGCGCTTGTAAGTTGAAATTGCCAGGAAAGCTACAATGCTTGAATGGAATGAAGGGTTCAGTAAATTAAGTAAATAACATTTTATATATATTAGGCTTAATGGTTTTTTTAATAAATGATTATATATATATAGGAAACGAGTTCCCAAACAACCTCATGTGCGTAACCACTCGTCTTATTTGCACTTAGGCAGGTTTGAAGCCCGATCCTTAAAGATTTAGAATTTATAAAAATTGTTTTAATCATTTCCATGAGATGTGAAAAATGGGATATAAATTTTTTTGGACTTTTTAAGTTACATTTTTTTTTCCAAATTTTAAAGTGTTACAATTTGTTTCATGAATTTGATTTTGACATATGTATATATATATTACCGATCCTTAGAAAATTTAGAGTTTATAAAAATAGTTTTAATCATTTTCATGAGATATGAAAAATGGGATATAAATTCTTTAGAACTTTTTAAGTTACAGTTGTTTTGTGGATTTGATTTTGAACATGTTTTATATGAAATCTTTAATATATTTGATGGCTTTAATTTCAAAGAAATTATAGCTAATCATACTTTTAAAGGCCGTTTGGGATAATTTTTATTTTTTATTTTTTTATTTTTTGTTTTTATTTTTGTTTATGTTTTGATTTGAAGCAAATCATGTTTGGTATGCTTGATTAAGATATGATTATTTTTTAAAACACTCAAAACACAAGTATTGTTTTGAGTGTTTTTGAAAATATATTTATTTATTTTTAGAAACAAAAAATGAAAACATGCTAAAAACACATTAAACAAACATATTTTTATAAACAAAGGAAAAAATAAAAAACAAAAACAGAAAATAAAATTGATCCTAAACAAGCCCTTAGGCTTGGGCTCTGCAAGCCGTCTTTTTTTTTTTTTTCAATCCAGTTTAATTAGCTGTTAGATGTACTTAAAAATGCGTTTAAATTATATCCCCTGGTGATTCTGACGCTCTAGATGAACATTAATAATTCTTGTATCAAATACAATGGCATTAAAAGAAATCACCTGGAGGATAATTTTTCTATATAGAGGGACTGTTTGGTTTCCAGCATGTGGAGTGTTGGGTAAAAGAAATGTATGGGTTTTATTTTTTTGTGTTTTGTTTGAAGTAATTGAAATGCAAATCATTTGTGTTAGGGATTTACGGGAAAAAAAAAAAAAACTACATATTCTTTGACGAATTTTTATTTTGATCAAATAGGTTGAGTTCTAAATACAAGGAATACTCGTAGCTTGTGACCTTACCTTTTCTCTCCCTGTTGCTCTGCTACCAACCATTGATATTTGTCATATTTCAATGCCTTAGAAAACAAACACTAAATTTCTTTTTCAAGGCATTTGATTTTCATCTAATCAACTCATGTATCTATTAAAATGCAAACATTTCAATTACTATTCCTTTCTAAAATTATGTATTTTAAATGCATTCAACAAATGACCCGATAAAAGGAACACTTTTCATTTGTTATCATTTACTGGGTAACTATTTAATCCAGCTGTCATGTTAATCGAAAATCAACTCCTGTTAAGCATGCAACCATTTTTGAAAACTAATTTTCACTGTGAGTGACAATATACTTAATTCATTCAAATAAATTCTGTTTGTAAGATTTGAAATTTACTATGGTTCAATAACGATTCAACTTCTTCAAATAAAAGAGAAGGGGAAGCAAGTCATTGTTGTAATGCCACCCCTACTAACTGTTGATTTTTTTAGCTTGGTAATGTTTTATGATTTATCAAATTTCAAAACGTGATTTCTGAGCTGATTAGAGTTGTCATCTCATAGATCCTAAGGAAGCTGAAACATGAAAACATCATTGAAATGCTTGATGCCTTTGAAAGTCCTCAAGAATTCTGCGTTGTCACAGAGTTTGCTCAGGTGCAGCACAGTTACTGTTATCAAACTTAAGCGTGCATGTATGTTACAGAACAAGGCTCTCTCATTTTTTTTCTTTTTTATAGGGAGAATTATTTGAGGTTCTTGAGGATGACAAGCAACTTCCTGAAGAACAAGTTCAAAAGATTGCTAAACAATTGGTAATTGTTGGTCTTTTTTTTATTATTAAATATATCACATTTGTATCCAGTATTATATATATTTTTATCCGCACAATCTCAATAACTCTCTCTGAATATTTTGTTGATCGTGTTTTCAGGTAAAAGCCTTATATTACTTGCATTCCAACCGCATTATCCATCGGGATATGAAACCACAAAATATACTTATTGGCGCTGGATCTATTGTCAAGGTTGGTCTTTTATAGTATTTGAATATGACAACTGTTAAGATGTTTTTGGTTTTCTTTCTTTTATATTGAAATTCTGCCATTGTTGGAATTTTTCTGTGATGTAGAATAGCATATTTTAGTTATCTTTCATTTACCTTGTTAAGTCAAAGCGTATCTTTTTTGAATTTGAAAGAAATTCTACTGTTTCTTTATGCGTGTTTATACTATTGTATGCTTATTGTGCTTAGTTTATCGTTTCTTCCAGGTTCCATTTTTGCTTATCTCTCTTAATATTAGTTTTTGAGTTTGAATTTATCTTATTTCAATGCTAGTTCTATTGATTTTTTTCAATGTTCTTGGATATCATTGCTAGGAAGGTTTTCTTTTCTCTCTAAATAAGTTTTGTGAATTCCATTGGAATCTCTCATGCGTGTAAAGTTTGTTAAATATTTATATTAAATGCCTCTTAGGAATGATTCAGTATGGCATGGTTTAAAATTTCAGCGAACTTTGGCTGTAACAAAGCCATATTTGGCTTTTGAACCGTGATTTAGTCGCCATCCATTTTTATCTTGGTTTGCTGATTATATCTATGATGAGTTTGTGGAGGAGTTTGGGTGATTGGTATGTGAAATTTGTAGAGGAGGTCCTATAGTAACTTTGTTAATCAAGGTGTCTGGTAATTGAGTTTGCGACTTGACATCAGTCAATTAAGGTGTGGCTGGGAACAATTTTGTTAAGACTGCTCACATCATTTCTGGTAATTCGGATTAGAGCGGGTAGGAAATTGTGTTGGTTTGGTGAACACAATACCAATTTAGTTTTTTAGCAAGTTGGTGATAAAAAAATAATGTTTACAGTCTATGGCATCCATTTAGGAACTAGTGCTGCTGGCTATTTTTAATTCAATTGAGCTTGGCACTTCCTCTAACATGATTACTAGCAAGTATGTAATATAATGCATGCTAAAAACCATATTGGACTCAGAAACCTACTTCTGCATGCGTGCCCTAAACCATGCAAACTTATCTTGGCAATTTTTTTCTTCTTAGATTCTGTCGAAGTCTCATGTGCTTATGTGCTACTCTATGTTTGTACCAATGCATTTTTTATTTTTGGGAGAAGAAAATTTAAACTGATAACAAGTGGATGCCTTCAATTTCATACGGGCACAAATGCAACTAGTTGAATATATCAAAAATTGTCTTACTGAATTTTGTCACATATAAGTTCTTAAAGTGTTATAATATAACATATTTTTTTGGTTTACCTTAATTTTTTGACTTTTGTCTTTACAGCTTTGTGATTTTGGCTTTGCGCGAGCAATGTCAGCGAATACTGTTGTTCTTCGCTCAATAAAGGGTAAATTCTATAATATTTTTTGTAATTTCTCATGCCTGAAGGAGCAATTGATGCGTATCATCTTTTCTAAGAGTCCCTTTTTTGCCAACCATCTCATTCCATTTGTGTAATTATTGAGTTTGAATTACTAAGATGGACATCTTTTGTATGCACTCAAAAAACCATTAGAAATTAACCATTTTTGGTGCAGTGTTACATTATTTTTTTGTACTATCAAGTACGTAAAATTTAAAAACATAAACAGGATTTTGATGTAAAATATATGGATGTATTACGTTCAGTTGTGACTCCAAGGTTGACACAAAATTAAATAACAAGAAATAAAATAAATATACAATGGCATACTGTAATAGTTCAAAATGGCATTGTACATCAGATTTAGGAATTGAGCTAATACGAATAATGCAGTGTAACCATGAATACTATGGGTTGGCCCGAAATCTATTTCCTTTGTTACTCATCTCTCAAATTAATGCTGGGAATCACTTTCAAGCAATTTGCCAGCCAGGTAATGATGATGTTCTGATGAGGGCTTACTAATAATGTCAGCAAGTTGCTCCTTAGATTGGACGTACGGCAAAGCAATATGTTTCCTTTGATGAGCATTTTATATGTAACGGCAGCCAGTTTTAATATGTTTAGGCCTTTCATGAAAAACATAATTTTTATGAAACTGGTGTTAACTGCATACAAGGGAATTGATAAGTGGACTCATTATGATATAATTCTATTTTCTCAAGGGGCTCTGTGGTTGCTAATATTTATAACACAGGTTTAATTGAAATCAAATATAAAATAAATATTATAAATATAGAATACCTGGAGTTGGTAGTTTGCTTATAAAATAAAGTTTGGAGATCATATTTTTATGTTTGGCTGGAAGTAAAATGAATCAAAATTTTAGAATTTATATAT